TTTATGAGAAAGCCTTAATTAGGAGAAGGGGGAAATCCATACTTCAAGAAGGTATGGCTGAGCTTAGCTTAGAGGTTGGGGAACAGATGAAAGCAGGAAAAAATATGCTGCTGTGGCATATTTACCATATTTTCCAGCGTATAAGATGACTTTCTAAACCATGCAAATTGTCTCCGAAGTCGGGGGTCGTCTTATACGGCGGGTCGTCTTATACGCCAGAAAATATGGTATGTCTAAAATACAAAGGAGGAAAGGCTAAAAAATCCTAAAATTAAACCCCTCCCATCCCTACTGCAGTGACTGGTGGATATTTTCTCTCTGGTTAGTGATATGGTGAAAGAGGCTACATCAAAGCCAGAAAACAAACCATCTTGCTTACAAAAATGCCACCCTCACAAATCAAAACATCACCATTCAGTGATGACTTGGACCCCACCCCAAGCAGAGGTAGGACAGAGGGTGGCACTAGGGTCAGCACATTTTGTGGCAACCTCATTTGTGCACATTGCTAGTATTTTAAATTCAACCTTTAAGAGCTAAAGGCTCTTTAAGAGCTCATACTTCTTTCTATTCTCAAAAGCAATCCATTTTACCACTCAGCCAAACTAATTTCTGATTTGCTCTTTTTAATCAAGAAGCACAATTCCTTCTATTTTAATCTACCAAGGATAAAGCATGGTATTTGTAATTCTTTGGCCTATGTTCTGTTTTTCAGAGGATTGAAGGTTTCTTTGAGATTATTAGCGTAACCTCCTACAGGAGCATAAATCCATTAGCCATTATCCCGGAGAGGTATTTATATACCTCCAGCAAAGGTGAGTCCACCATCTCTTGTACTGTTGAACAGGTCTTACCAAGATCTGCTTCTTTGTAATTTAAACCCATTATTTCATGTCTTGAACTTGTCCCCACTTCAAAGGAGGTAGTCATTCTGGGCCCCTCCCCTAATTTCCAGAATTATATAATCAGAATAGTGCTGGAAGGGACCTTGGAGGTCTTCTAGTCCAGGGCTTTTCAACCAGTGGTACGGGTACCATCTGTGGTACACTGGCACCTGGCAGGTGGTACACGACCATCCTAGAAAAGTGGTAGTGGGGGAGGGGAATGGGCTGAACTGGTGGCAGCACTGCACAAGCCTGAGAGAGAGATGGCTGGAGCTGCAGGGCTGTCAGAGCTCAGAGGAAGTGCCAGGATCAGCGCTTCTTCGGGACTATCAGGGCTCAGTGGAAGCGCCAGGATCAGCACTGGGCTCCAGCTGGAGCTCAGCGCTGATCCTGGTGCTTCCGCTGAGCCCTGAAGAAGCACCAATCAGCTGGAAAGCAGCACTGATCCTGGCGCTTCTGGTAAGCCCAGAAGCGCCGATCAGTTGGAATGTTGCAGCCTCTCCAAGGTCTTGTGATTTACATTCAGATGCTTGACAACTGATTCATATTTATGACGGTCACAGTGTCCCAGGGTCATGTGAAGTGACCAAAACCTGCTGCAACCACCCAGCAGACGGGGGAGGGGGGATAAAAACCAAACACCCCCCCACACCACTCCCACTGCCAATCCTCAACAGAAATGCTCACAACAATGAAAACTTCGGACAGGAGGAAGAGTGCTGCTGGGCAGGCAGGCAGGCCTCTTGCTCGGCTGTGGCTTGGGGCGCAGCTTTTTCAGTGCCATGGTAACTTTGAACAGTCACTAAGCGAACTGTTGTAAGTCGAGGACTACCTGTACTTTATCACTTTTTTCCTCTTTTTTGGGGGGGGTCATCAAGTTTTTGATACCTTGCTAGGCAACTGGTGGTACTCGGACATTGCCATATCCTAAAAGTAGTACAATGGGTGAATAGGTTGAAAAGCCCTGATCTAGTCCAGCCCCCTGCTGAAGCAAGAGTCCTTGTATCATTTCAGACAAGTGGCTATCCAGTCTCTTCTTAAAAGCCTCAAGTGATGAAGCACCCACAACATCTGAAGGTAAGCTTGTTCCACTGGTTAATTGTCTTCACTGTTAGGAAGTTTCTCCTAAATTCCAGGTTGCTTCTCTCCTTGATTAGTTTCCATCCATTGTTTCTTGTCTTGCCTTCTGGTGCATTGGAAAATAAATTGACTGCCTCTTCCTTGTGGCAGCCTCTCAAATACTAGAACACTGCTATTGTGCTCCCCCTAGTCTTTCTTTACTCTAGACTGGCCATTCCCAAATCCTGCAACCGTTCTTCATATGTTTTAATCTCCAGGCCTTTTAATCATCTTGGTTGCTCTTCTCTGCACTTTTTCCAAAGTTTCAACATTTTTTTTTGTAAGGACTGGATGTAGTATTCCAGATGCGGCCTTACCAAGGCTCTATAAAGCAGTACGAATCGCGAGACTTTGATTATATGCCTCTGTTTACTAAGGTGACCAACCGTCCTCCTTTAGGGAAGACAGTCCTCCTTTTGTGAGTTCTGTCCTTCCTCAAAAAGTGTCCTCCTACATGTCCTCCTTTTCAATATTTGAAGAGTAATCTACAGGGCTTTTTTTCCCCTCATAGAATGCCCAGAACAGCTTCCAGCACCTTTTTTTGATGTGTTTTTTTTTTTTCAATTTTTGCATGAGCTGTGCTACTCCCACTATTGGCTTTCGAAAGCCAATAGGAATTGCTGCTGAGCGTGCCAAAATACCCCTCTGGCAAACTTTGCACATGCAAGTTGTCTGTATTACCGTGGCAATGAATAAAATGTTTCTTTTATTTACGATATTTATTTCTTCAATTTATTTGTGCTCTCCTTTTCATTGTAAAAAAGTTGGTCACCTTACTATTTACACAACCAAGGATCGTATTAGCTTTTTTTTGGCAACTGTGCCGCTCCTTCTCCATTTCAGAATAACTCCTTCCTATCCATCATCCAATTCTGAATTCCCCTCGTAAGCCATTCCTTCGAAGAGGCAGAAGGAAATCACTTGGTGGAAGCTCCAGGGACCGGTTCTCTTCCAGCTCGAGGGCCTGCTTCCTTCGTTGGAGAGGAGGAGGCCATCAACATATTCGGCCTTTTCTAGATCGCGCGCTGGGCTTCCCGGGATCCCGCAAAGCGCGCCTCAACGGCCTGCACGCCTTGCCTTATGCGGCCGCCGGAAAATACACTGGCGTATAAGAGTTACCTCGACGCCGACTCTGGAGCCTTAATCGGGGACCGACCGGTCACACACACACACCTCCCACCCCCAGGAAAGCAGCCTCGCTTCCTTCCCGTGAGGAAAAAGCCACGCTGGCCTTCTATGGGCGCACCACGGGGATGGTCTCGAAGGAACTTCCCGGCAGAAAGCGTAAGGCAGGGCTGATTTACAGATGCGCCTTCCTGGGGAAAAAAGTGTACGAAAGTAGGGACAGCCGCCTTTTCCTCACACGCGTGGACTCTCCAAACGAAGGCCGGAGAAAAGGCCTGTCCCTTCCCCCCCCCTTTTTTTGTTCCGTTTTCGGTGCGTTAGTTTGCAAACGCCGCTCCTCTTCTGGCCCTGCTCTTCTTTCAGGGCCGAAGCTCAGCACGTCGGTAGATTCAGTCCCACGCCGGGCGGCGCTTTTCCCTCCCCTCTGGAGCGCAGCCGCTCGGCCCGCTCATGGCGAGGCCACCAACTAGGAAAGCTCCTTTCGCCTTTTCGGCCTCCTGCATCGCGCCGAAAAGAGACGAGCGTCTACTACTAGGTAGTTACAACCAAAACAAGTTCCTGACCCCGGACAATCCTTCCAGGCCCATTCATTTCCACGACTGCCGCCTCAGGAAAGATTTTGAGTCGACTTGGCCTGGGCCAGTGTTTCCCAAACTTGACAATTTTAAGGCATGTGGACTTCAACTCCCAGAATTCCACAGCCAGCCTTGCTGGCTGTGGAATTCTGGGAGTTGAAGTCCTCATGCCTTAAAATTGTCAAGTTTGGGAAACACTGGCCTGGGCAAACCACCCGATTCCGCTCCCAGCCGAGGGGAATTGAACGATTCGCCCGGCGTGGCTTCTGCTCCGAGCTTAGCAACGTCCGCGGGTTCCAGCCTGAGTAGGAGAAACGAGAGGGCTGCCGCCCCCGCGCCCTTCAAATCAATCGGTTGAAAGGATGAGGGGAAAAAAACAGCGAACGCAACGAAGTTCTTTGAATCCTGTCCTAATTCAATTTCTCGCGCGGTATCTTTGCATTCCAATTATTTTAAGAACTCCCAATATTTTAACAAGCACGCTAAGAGCGATGTGATGCACGATGCAATATTGATATAATAACAATAAAGTTTTCATTTGTCAGGAGCCTCGTCTATGGGCTTATGCCAATTCGAACTATATTCCGATAGGCTATTTACAAAATGTTACTAAAACGAGGGTAAAATAAAACACGGGTCTGTTTGGCGTGGTCTCGTTTCGTTAAGTAGTTTTGTCGTCACGAAAGAACGATCGTATTTAAAGCAGCCTCCATTTGGTGTCATAATTTATATATTTTTTTAATTATCCCAAAGGTCGGTACGGAGCCCGCCTTTTCTACGTGAGCGCCTATTAAGTCTATCGAAATGCGGTCCAATTTGGTTTCGTTCACGCGAACTCTCCCTTTCCCACATGCCCTAGTCTGCCTCCTTTCCCCCCCCCCTTTAATCGAAACGAAGGCTGTCCTAATTTAGAGAAAGAACCCCCCAATTATTTCTGAACAGCCGTGCAAGCGATTTTCGGCTCCGGCGCTTCTCCACGAGTCAGGTGGAAGCAAAACGGTACCCGGGCGCGCCACCAGAACTCAATCCGGCCACAGCACACTCGCGGGCCGTCCGTCGGTTTTGCTCTGGCCCGGCTAAGGAAAACCCACGCGAAGGAGCGGAAACGCCCGTCTGCCCGCCCTGGACGGCAGCGTAGTTTTTAAGCACGATCCGACTTGTGGGTCAATTCCTTTCGTCGCCCGGCCGGAGTTGATCCCAGGCAAATCGCCTCCGGATTGGGGCGGCGCGGCCGAGGGGAAAAAAAAAAAAACGACTCTCCGAAGCACGGCCTGCTTGGAGAGGGAGCGGCACTTACAGCTCTTTAGCTCCCGCGGCACTGGAGAGCGCGCCTTCGCCCCGTTGCGCCGCGCCTCTGGGTTTGGGGGGAATGCAAGGCTCCACCTCGCCCCCAACTCTCGGTGCGAGCTCTGCTCCGCCGCAGCCCGGAGAAGGATCCGCCGGCCGAGTGACTCCCTCGCGCGTGGAACATCGGCTTTATGGCTGGGGCCATCGTCGCCCCCCAGCCAGCCGCCCTCGGGCAACGCTCTGCTAGCCCGCCCCATCGCTCGCTGCGCGCCGGCCGCGGAGCCCCCCCGCCTCTTTCCTAGGTGTGGCTCCAGACCACGCCTGCAACCCTGTTTCCCAAGGCGCTTTCCCCGACGAGAGGAGGGGAAGCCTCCGGGCGAAAGATCGCGGAGGGGGATCCGGCTGTTGGGAAAGCGCTCATTCCTGCAAACAAGCCCTTGGGGTCAAAGCGAGAGGCCGGCTTTGAGGAAGATGCGCACAAGAAAAACAAGTGCCATACACCTTCCACCAGCAAGACTAGCAAAAATGTTTAAAACTATGTCAGATAGATGTTGGAAATGAGATGTTGGCAATGTAAACATAACATAGGCACGAATTATCGTATTTGGTGGCTATGTGGGAAGGCAAAGGCTTATTGGAAAAACATACATATGTGGTTAGAAAAAATATCGGGCGAACAAGTGGATTTTAAACCTGAACTTTTTCTACTAGGCATTATGCCTGAAAAGACTAATAAGCAGGAATTATATTTAATTTTACACATCGCCACAGCAGCGAGAATAATTTTTGCACAATACTGGGAGAAGGAAGGATTGCCGTCAGAGGAAGAAATAATCAGGAAAATACTGGAATGTGCAGAGATGGACAGATTAACTATGAGGTGGAAAGACATACAGACTACTATCAAATTTGAAATTTATTTTACTCTTGGTTAGAGAAAAAAATGAAGGATTAGGAATTGAACATATATTAGCTTAGCAAACTCCAGACAACTTGTTGATTGGAAAAACTAACATATGTTGATGAGAAAAAAAATAATAAAAATAAGAATAAAGGAAAAAAAAAACAAATGCCTTTACTCAGTCCTCGGATCAATAGATGGGAGTGAGCAAGTTAGTGCTCCACCTCGGTTGGTTTCCGCTGTTACTCTCGTTTTAGCCATCCCAGCCACCATAGCTTTGACTTCCTTTTCGAGGAAATACAAGGAGAAATAGAATGGGGTAAAATGCCTTTGCTAATAATAGTTCCCAACCATTGAAAAGCTATTTCCTAGACAGTGATGATCACCACCTCAAAGATTCAAGCATTTCCCTCAAATCCCTTTAAGCATAATTTACAGTAGAAGTTTGTAATAGCTTTACTTAATCATTCTATGTATTGTTAGATGGACTAAGGTTAACTCCTCTTTTTGAGCTCCAAAACTAATTTTAACCCCTCCTCCATGAAATCTATAATTCTTTTGATCTTTCCTCAACTTGATGCAAAACTTTTTCTATTTCCGTTTTTTGCCTTTACATTGTATAAAAACTATGAAAATTATTTCAGCATTCGCTAAATAATTTATCTGCATTCCAAGGATATACATCACAAATGATGGTCTCTAGTCAACAATGATACAAAGGAACATGGGGAAATGTGATTTGTGACCCTTTGTGAATAACAATTTGCACTCTGTCATACACTGCAGAAGTGCAGGGAATTGGATTAGGTTGGTCCAATCACAAAACCGATTCATCTGATTAGATACCAGTCAGTTTTGGGGCAACATTTCCTTGAACCTGACTAAGCATGTTGTTGATCATGTATCTGAGATATCCAATGGATGCACTTGCCTTTTATGCAGGAAATGAGGGAATCACCCCAGGTAATTTGAACAGCTGTGGTGAATTATATTATTTATCAATTCTTAAACAAATTCTTCTAAGCTGTCCAGTATTGTTGGAATAAATGGCTTGTAAGTGTATAAACTCTTATTAATCAATATGGAAGTCTTAGAAGCAGGAGTGAGGAAAGTCATTACATTATATAAGTTAGACTTCGTAATGTTAATGGAAATGAAAGCTGAGTATAACACACAAACCTTGGTCTTTTACAAATCAGATTTTAATAAAATAAAATAAAATAGAGGCTAATGTATTTGTCCCAAACTTTCTTGTAGTATTTGGAGGAATATTTCTTCTCTTCGGGAAAACACGGAGAAGAATAGAATAGAGTAGAGTAGAGTAGAGTATTTATTTATTATTTTATTTATTTATGAGACTTATATACCGCTTTAAGTGCAAGCACTCTCTAAGTGGTGTACACCAGTAAGCAATGTATATATATATTTACATTGCCCCCAACAATCTGGGTCCTCATTTTACCTACCCCGGAAGGATGGAAGGCTGAGTCAACCTTGAGCCGGTGAGATTTGAACCGCTGACCTGCTGAACACAGTCAGCTAAAGTGGCTTGCAGTACTGCACTCTAACTGCTGCGCCACCTCGGCTCTATAATAGAATAGAATATTCTAGAATTCTAGAATAGAATAGAATAGAATAGAATAGAATAGAATAGAATTCTTTATTGGCCAAGTATGATTGGACACACAAGGAATTTGTCTCTGGTGCATAAGCTCTCAGTATACATACAAGCAACAAGTGATAAATCATGATAATCATAAGATACATTCATCAGGAATCATAAGATGTAATCATTTAGTGATAGTCATAGGACACTAAATATAACAACACTAAATTTATCAACATAAATCATACTAAATAAAACAATAGTATAAATTGTAAAATACAAGCAACAAAGGAATAGTCATAAAAGGATAAGGAAATAGGTAATAGGAAAGATGAGAAGAATAATAGTAATACAGCCCTACTAAGTAGTTTGACAGTGTTATGGGAATTAGTTGTTTAGCAAAGTGATGGCATGGGAAAAATGTCTTTTGTGTCTACTGGTAGTTGTTTTGGTGTGCAATGCTCTATAGCGTCATCTTGAGGGAAGAAGCAGAAACAGTTTATGTCCAGGATGTGAGGGGTCTGTAGATATTTTCACAGCCCTCTTTCTGGCTTGTGCAGTATACAGGTCCTCAATGGAAGGCAGACTGGTAGTCATTGTTTTTTTCTGCAGTTCTAACTATCCCTTGAAGTCTGTGTCTGTCTTGTTTGGTTGCAGTGCCAAACCAGACAGTTATAGAGGTGCAAATGACAGAGTCAATAATTCCTTTGTAAAACTGTATCAGCAGCTCTTTGGGCAGTCTGAGCTTTCTGAGTTGCTGAGGAAGAACATTCTTTGTTGTGCTTTTTTAGACCCCAGTCCTATCCTATTTAACATCTAAGTCAGTGGTTCTCAACCTGTGGGTCGGGACCCCATTTGGGGTCGAACGACCATTTCACGGGGGTCGCCAAACAAGACTGTCCGCCATTTTTTCCCCCTTTTCTTTGGCCACGCCCCTGGCACCTGGTGATGTATAAGTGGTTGGGGTCACCACAACATGGGGAACTGTATTATGGGGTTGTGGCATTAGAAAGGTTGAGAACCACTGATCTAAGTGAAACTGCTAGGAGAGTTCCTCTGAACATTTGAAGTGTGCCAGAACTGTTCTATAACGCTCAGCTTTCTTGTTCGTTATAACTAACTCCAAGTAAGCAACCACTCTGTTGTCTAAATTTGATAGCGTATTGGTTATATGAGGAAGATAAGCAGAACATGCTGTGGATCAAAAGGAAGTTATGGACTAAGACAGTGATGGCGAACCTTTTAGAGACCGAGTGCCCAAACTGCAACCTAAAACCCACTTATTTATTGTCGGGTGCCAGGTGGGTGTGGTTGTGGTGGTCATGGCAGATTGGGTGGGTGTGGCCAAGGTGGGCGTGATCACCTCGATGTTGCTCGTGGGGAGGGATGCCTGTGGGGGCCAGGCAGGGTTGGGAGAGATCCAGGGGGTCTCTGGCAGGTGGGGCGGTGGGCAAGAGGCTCATCCTGCTGGGTGAGGTGAGACAAGGCGAGGAAGGGGTGCCATTGTCACAGGGCAAGGTGAGGCAGGGGCCGGGGCGGCCGCTGCCTGACACCATCGGCCCCTGCACACAGAGGCCAGTGAGCGCATGGGTGCTGGGATGCATCCAGCCATGTGGGACCTCGGCCAGTTAGCAGGTGGCTGGTTGAAGAGGGATGGTGGCCATCTCCGGGGCATGGTGCGTGTACCCACAGAGAGGGCTCTGAGTGCCACTTCTGGCACGCGTGCCATAGGTTCGCCACTACTGGACTAAGATTTACCCTGTTATGACTGAAGTTGTTCTCTCCCTGATCAGGCTGTTCTGGGATTGGAACTTATTGATTCTGGAATCACAGGTGATAACTGTGGCAAACAGAACTTTTGTACAATTGCAGTTAGTGACTTTGGATTCGGTAACAGTTATTAATGCCTTGACTAATTTAAGCAGCAGATATTTATTTTTCTTTATCGTTCTTATAAACCACTAAATTGGCGCTATGACACACTGTACATGGGGCTGCTCTTGAAGATCATTCAGAAACTTCAACTGGTACAGGATGAAGCGACGCAGGTAGTAACTGGTACACGTAACGCCACTACTGCATGAGCTGCATAGTTACCAGTGTTTCTGGGTGCAATACAAGGCAGTGATTATCTATAAAGCCCTATCTTTATCTGAGGGTTTGCTTTTTTTCCAGTGTTTCTGCCTGTCCAATTAAATAGGATGGGCATGCTGCAGATAAGAATGTCAGCTGTCAGGGACAAGAAGATGAGATTTTTTCTGCAACAACCCCTGCTCTGTGGAACATCCTCCCTTCAAGATTAGAATGGCCCAACTCTCTTAAGCCTTCTGTAAAGCTTTAAAAACTATCTATGCTCCCATGTGCCAAAGGCTCTGCCTCTTGGCTATATTGTTAATAAGCTAGATGACTTGCTCTGTATGTACTCAAATTAGACTTTTTGATTTTTTAAAATTTGTTTTAATGGGTTTATCTGTTTTTATTTTTAAAATGTTTTTAGGATTTTAATTGTAATATGTGTTTTTGAATTGTGAGCCGCCTGGAGTTGTTTGCTGAGGTGGGCGGCTATAGAAACCAATCAAACAAACAAATACGATATAAAAACTATGATTCTGGATTTCCTGTGTGCATGTTTCAGTGTGTGTGTATTTCTTCATCTTCAGAGAGGAAGATGATCACAAACCTTGTTAGAATGAGATTGAGCACAAATTGACCATCATTCAGGTGTTGTCAGAAATATATTTTGGTAAAATATCACAAGCAAATGAAGTGTTGGCCC